GGGAGGTGTGTAACAAGCGATTGGTGGTGTCGGCATCGAACCTTCGGGTTCTCTAAGCCTTATTATTATTATTATTATCAATTAAATAAGAATTGGAAATCATCATTTAAAACTTTTTATGATTGAGGAATTCGATTAAAGAAACACTATTAACTTTAATGACACGTTACTTATTGGAATAGAATATTGTTTCACAAAGTGGATCTTTAAGTAGAGATAAAAAAACTGGATTTTCTCGTAAACATCGTAAAATATAATCACAATGTTAAAGGAGTTGCTATTGGTTTATAAAGTCTAAAACGTTTTATCAAATCGAAAAAAAAATAATAATACGTTCTATTACAATTAAATGAAGTCACATATTATGATTATACCAATTTTCAAATTATTTTGAATAATGATAGTGATTTTATTCGTATTTGGTTATACTTTCTTCTAACAGGTTTCTTGGAAAAATAAGTAAAAAGGGTCCACTATAATTTTCTTCAAGGAGAAACTTAATAACTTTAAATTAACAAGAAAAGGCAATAATTGGCAAGAAAATAATTTATTCATGTCGCGTGCAGGATAAAATTCGTTGATGGCTTTTGTTTAACAACTTTCTATTCTATGATTCTAAAATCACCTCTGTGAAGCAGTATTTTTATCTAAGACAGATCATATCAATAAAAGCTAGATCAGAAAAAATGCATAAAAAGATTAACTTGTGGTAGAAATAATACTGGATCCTCAAAAACATATTAAAAAATCAACTATCTTCAACTATCAAGACTAAAGTATTGGAAAAGTATTTTTATCCAGTAGTTTTGTACGGAATTCAGAAATGGGCTACATCCGGAAAAAAACTATAACATTAGGACACAACTTCAATTTTCCCGAAGCATGTTACGAATTAAGAGGAAAGATCGGATCAGCAACAGAAGAGTTTAAAGTCAGGTAAACCTTAAAAGCCTGTCGAAAGAAGCGTTTTTATTAAAATGGAGATGGCCTGGTCATGTAGACAGATTGGACCCTAGAAGATGGACGAAAATTGCTACTGAATGGATTCCAAGGAATTACAAGGGAGGAAGAGGAACACATTTCACAAGATGGAGAGATGAATTAGTGCAGAGAGTGGGTGACGGCTGGGCAACAGTGGCAAGAAATATAGATAGTTAGTGTAAAGTAATAAATACCAATTAAATTCAAGTTAACTATGATTGAATAATTCCCTCCCCCCAAAAAATTGTAAATTATTTATTTACTTTTTTTATTAAAACAAAAATCTTACCTGACATATCTATACGTTTCACAGCCCCCTGAGTCCGAAAAACACACTTTTAGCTATTGGTCTGTCTGTCTGTCTGTGCCAAGATTTTCTAGGGAACTACTGAACCGATTTTGTTGCTTCTTATTTTTTATTTTGTAGGGGTTTGACTACTGATGCATGTGACAGAAATTCGGTGCTCTATGCGCAATAGCTTGCGCGAAATAAATGAAAAACATGTTCATCTATAGACTTTAGCTCAAAAACGGCTCTAACGATTTTGATGAAACTTTCCTATGATGTTCTAATCATTGTCTTTTCAATTTGTATATATAAAATAAATTCATATAATAGGACACAAATATATAAATATATAAAATAAATTCCCGAAAAAATTCAGGAAAAAAAGTTATAAAGAAAAGAAAAATGTTATGGGGCCTAACTCCCTAAGCATATATCATACGGTAAAATTTATAACAAAACTTTTGAAAGGTAATCAAATTACCAACTAAACCAAAAAAAATTCATCGGAATCGAACCAGTATTACCGATGATACAGCTTATTCTATTTTTTACCCATTTTTTTAAACTTATTACTTTCCTACCTATACCAGGTAAGGAAAGTATTGCAATCGGGTCAAATATCCGACATGCGGTTTTCGACGGTTCTATACGTTTCAGGGCCAAACCGATTTTGTTGCTTCTGTTTTTATTTTGTAGGGTTTTGACTACTGAATCCTGTGACAGAAATTCGGTGCTCCATGCGCAATAGCTTGCGCGCAATAAATGAAAAACATGACAACATATCTCGGTATTCACTTCGACCTATTTAAAATTTACTCGACATTTTGACAAAAAATTAAAACAGTAAGATCTAAGACATACAGACTCCAAAATTTAATTCGGATAACAAACTTATCTTTACGCCTAAAGCTTCTAGTGTATACAAGTACAATACGGCCGGCTCTGTTGTATGGTGCACCTCTGTTCGAACATATCAGCAGAACAACTGAGAAAAGATTACAATATTTCCAAAATGGAATAATTAGAAAAATTTTAAGAGGAACCACGCTGCAGAGAAAGAAAACAGTGGATATACAAGCAACACTAAACTTATCAACAAAAGAAGAATTTTTCTCAAAAGGAAAAAAATTATTTTTCGAAAATCCCAACAATTGGCAAACCCTATTTTTAACAATTTATTACCAGCAAAAATTCCACAACGTTGGCAACAAATCACATGAGATAGATGTTTTTATTAATTTAGTTGTAAGCTCTAGAGGATAAGGTCAACTCAAGCCTGAGGTGAGCCGCATCACCTTTATATTACAGATGAACAACAAAATACTCAGAAACCACAAAAATCTAAAAATAAACCTTACAATGCTTTTAAGCAGTAAAAGGACTATTATTAAGACAATCCAAGGTATAAAGACAAAAATAAGTAGAAAGGGGCTATGAAAAAAAAAAAAAAAACTTCATAACAGTTTACCAAAAATATTTCGATTTGGCGATTCGATTTATACAACGAAATATCAAATAATTTGGTCTATCACGGAATGAAATTTGACAGACATCTAAAATTTGCCGTTCAGTGCACTTCAAAACTATCAAAAGTTAGACAAAAATCCTACAAAAATCAGTCACAACCTCAAACCTCAGCCTCATTACTCATCTACAAAAGCGTTCTTCGCCCTTCCCTTCTCTGTGGTGCTCCTCTGTTGTCCCACATTTCAGAAAATACAAGCAAGGGGCTTCAGCGATTCCAAAATGGAATTTTAATCAGAATAGCTAAAATACATCATTTGAAAAAGAAAAATTAGATAAATTTCAAGCCTTCTTAAATTTTTCCAGCTTATATGAATTCATAAAAAAAAGAATAATAAAATTCTATGATTCTTTAAAAATATTTAATCAATGGAGAATCCAATATGATAACATTTCCGGTGGCTCCTCGGCGATCGCAAAATATAGATGTAAGGTAGATTTTTAGTTAGTCCTAAGAAAATTATCAAGATAGAGGTGAGCCCCATCATCCAGATTGAAAGTCAAGACATAAAGATAAACAGAACTAAGAAAGGCTTAGCAAGACCTTAAAATGTACCTAAAATACAGCACAAGGAAAATATGTAAAAAACATATGTAGTAATTATTGAATTTATTCAACTATAATCTTCAATTAAACTATCGGATAAACCAAGCTAAATCCTCAACTGCATGGAGATGGTAGACCGTGATTATAATATGAGAAAGAGTTGGTTGTCGGTTGAGTTCAAATTAAATAATATATATTATAATAGTATTTTATTGGTTACACCGACGTTTCGACCCACTTGGTAGGTCTTCATCGTGGCTTTGTGCCATGCACTTCACTCAAAGCAGTTGGGAGACTCTCAAATATACTACACATGGAACACTTCTAGAAAAACCTTATTTCTTGTTTAATAAGCTTCAAGTTCGTATTACATAACTTGAGGTTTACTAAGAAATAACTATAAAAAATGAGATTATTTTATACCCTGTTACTTGCACAATGTTTTCACAAAAATGTCTAAAATAAATTATTGCAAAGCTTTAATTTTTTTTTTCAATATATATGTAATACAACAATTATAATTGCATAAATATACATTATATTTATTGAAAAAAAAGTGTTTAGAATATTGATTTTTTGAATATTTATCATCTAAAGTGATAATGAATTGTTTTTTTCATATAAAATCTGTATTATAGAAATTGATCAGTACTTATAAGTGACCAAATAAATATTTTAAATATTATAACTTAATAATTGTTGAGGGGCTTCTGCCTAGAATGAAGTCCTAGAAAGCTCTATTATTCGTTGCAATAGACAACTGTATACTGACGACAACTAAATTCCAATTGAAATGGTAATATTCACAGATCAAAATGATACACAAAATGAACAAAGACATTTTCAATCCTTCATCACATCGACCTATTAGTCTCCTTATGATATGTTCCAAAGTTTTGGAAAAATTAATATATAAGAGATTGGTTAATTTCAAATTAGTATATTGATAATCAACTTAAAAGATGCTTTATAATCAAGTATATTTTCTAGTACAAAAGGTTTAACAAAATTTAACTGTAATCCTGAAATTTCGTATTTATTTTCTTTTATTTTTAGTATAAATTTGATGTTCAATTAGAAAATATATGAAAACCTGATTAGAATTTCCAACTAATATTTTAATGGTTAAGTTTGAAAAGTTGCCCTTTGATATATACATACACAGTTTTTTGTGTAACTGTAACTGCCCAGCTTAACCATCGAATACTTATACTATAATTTTGATACGATGTAAACAGTCCTATAAATATACAGCAACATATTACAATTGAATAATTAATTTAAAATATTAAAAATGAAAATTAATAATTACTGAAATAAGTTCTAAATAAATTTAATATTTAAACATAATATAATATTTATTTTTTACTTTAAAAGATAAATTACTGGATACAATGAATAAGGTAACAGAAACTTTGTATTTAAATATCTTGAAGCAACATACCTGTTTAGCTTTATGATGTATAATTTCTTTGTATAATTCTTCATTATAATTTTTATTTTTACTTGCGTGATTTTAGAAATGAAAAATTTTAATAACTCAGAAATCATTTTCCTTCTTATTTTTGAAACTATTACAGTAAAATAGTATTATAAGAATTTCAAAATAATAACTTTGAAATCTAATATTCTTAAAATAGTTAAGGAGGAGGGGAGGGTTTAAAAAATATAAAGAACAGGTAAAAAAAAAATACAAACTAACTTATAATTTATTTACAAAAGGTACATCATATAACTTGGCATCAGTACATAAATATTAACAACTCGTAAATAGTCTTTACATTTTCACAACTGACATCATTGGCACACAGATCAGCAGAGGGGAATAATAAATAAGTTCGAGAGGAGAGGACCCACTGCCAAGGTCACTACCGCTTGTTGATGATGTCGTACGAGTACTGGTTCGACGGAGAGTTGAAGTTGACGAAGCTCCCTTCGGGCAACTTGTCAAAGTTAGTGTTGGTCGTTCGCGTCCTTTCGACCCTCTTAGGCTCAGCCATTTTAGAAGACTGCGAAGTATGAGATTTTTGTTTTTTTAATGTTTCCGGGTGTTTTGATTCAGCTAATTTCGAGGTTTGTTGTACTTCCGAACGCTCTCTTGTCGACGATTCTGCTGTTATTATATCGTTAGTTTTATGCGGCTGTAAATTCTCATAAAACTGTTGCTTGTTGTGTGTGTCGACCGATTTACTTTCGGTAGAGTTCATTGGTTGTAAAGTCACTAATCTTTGCGAAGGGTCTGCTTCTAAATTGTTAGAGGAAGTATTATTTCCACTGTTGGTATTATTTTTTCTTAAATCAGGATTAAAATACAAAGCTATCCCACTCGAAGTAAATCCACTGTCCAGTAGATGTTGTACGAGCTCTTGCTCTTTCCTTACCAAATGGCTGTTCGCTGCCTCTCTTTGAGAATTTGAATCTTGTTTTCCATGCCTTCCACTGTCTGAAGGTGGTGGTACAACTTGTGCGCGAGATTCGTGGTTTACACTTTCTTGAGCTACTAAAGTCTCATCTTTACTCTCGTGTTTGATTCTTTGTAGATCAGGACCACTTGGCCCTGTGTTAACCTCATGCTGTTCAGATCCACTGGGGTGAGCGTCAACCACTCCATAGCTTGGTTGAACTTGTTGGATAGATGCAGGCTGGTGTTCTATCGCTGCGAGTATATCTTGCAAAAGGCCATTTGAGAGAACGTGTTGATGGGGAATGTTTCCATGCGATTCTCCGTTGGCAGATTGAATGTTCAGAGTATAGCTTCCTTGGTTGCCATTAATAGGTATGTCTACTGAATTAGGTGTATACTCGTGAGATATCGATTTGCTGATATCTGTACCCTCCAGTCCTAAAGAATGAAGCAACTCCGGACCAGCAAAATCCTGGTGATTTCCTTGAGAACTTTGTGGAGGTGGCCCATAGTTATTAGAGGCGTCTAGATTTTGCAATTGTGGTGGGCTCAAGTCAGCTGATGGATTACCGCCATGAAAACTAGATCCTTTACGACCTTCACTATGATCAATATGGCTACTTTCAAAGTTGGTATGAATATCATCTGGATGTTTTTGCGGTACTTCTGGAACGCTTGGCGGAATGTATGTCCCTCCTTGGAAGGGTCTTCCATGACCGTTTGTATTATATTCAGCAGACTCCCCAATAGCTTCCAGCAATCCTTTTGGCACAGGATCTCTAAATTTTATTGGAACTTTTGGCTGTATTTTAGGTCCTTCTATTTGCATTCCTGAAGGGACTCCATATGCTAAGGGCAGAGAAGACTTATGCTCGTGTCCTCCAATATCTGGAGGTGGCGTTCCACAACAAGATGATAATTGAACACCAAAGCTACCTTGTGGAGGTCCGTAAGCGTTGCTTGGTGGTCCATAATTTTCATTAGGAGGTGGTCCATAGTTTTCACTAGGAGGTGGTCCGTAGTTTTCACTAGGAGGTGGTCCGTAATTTTCACTAGGAGGTGGTCCATAGCTTCCACTAGGAGGTGGCCCATAGCTTCCACTAGGAGGTGGTCCATAACTGCCGCTGGGTGGTGGCCCATAGTTGTCACTCGGTGGTGCTCCATAACTTGGTGGAGGAGGGGCAAGATCACCTCCATGGCCACTATGAACGGATCCTGGTGGTGTAAGATCCGATATTATGGATCCTGAGCCATGACCTTCTCCTTTAGTAAGTAAGTTCAATATGTTGATATTACTGTCATGACCGCTAGGTGGTCCATACGAGCCACTTGGTGGGAGAGGAGGACCGTAGGAATCACCTGGAGCCTGCAAGTCATTTGGAGCACCATAGGAGCCGCTAGGTACACCATACGATGTTTTAGGTGGAGCTAAATCACCGTGTGAAATATCCCTTCCTGAATTTGGTACGCCGTATACTGGCTTTATTGAGACTGGAGGCGATTGAGGGAGCGGAGGCGGTGGACCATCATAGGTTCCTGAATGATGGTCGTGATGATTTCCAGGAGGAGGAGGCGGTGGACCACCGTAAGAGCTACTTGGGAGAGATGGTGGTGGTCCATAGTTTCCAGAAGATACATCAGAGCCGCTATTTGGAGGTCCATAAGAGTCACTGGGTGGTCCATAACTTCCACTTGGAGGCGTAAGTGAACCTTCTACCGAACCGTGACCACCTCCAGGTCCCGATATAAGACCATTTCCACCAGAAGGAGGTCCATAAGCATCACTCGGAGGACCATGACTTGTAGGAGGGCCATACGAATCGCTGGGACCAGAATGGTCTCCAGGAGGATGTGAAATTCCTGGTATGGGTTGCCATCCATCGTATGAAATTTCTGGTGGAGTTGGAGGAGAAGGAACGCCTGGAGGAGCATGTAGGCCATGTCCTGAAGGTGGGCCATACACTGGTTTCGGTTTTGGAGGAGGCCCATAAGACGGCTTAGGTGGAGGTCCATAAGTATTTTTAGGTGGTCCAAAGCTGGGTTTAGGTGGCCCGTAGTTTGGTTTTGGTGGACCGTAGGCTGGCTTTGGTGGTTTCAGAAACGTTCCTCCGCCATTCTTCGGTGGACCATAGATAGGCTTTGGAGGTCCTCCACTTGGTGGTCCATGACCGAATGATGGCTTTGGTGGACCATAATTTGGTTTAGGGGGCCCATAAATTGGTTTCAACTTAGGAGGTCTTAGGTTGGGAGGTCCATATATAGACGTTGGCGGACCAAAGTCTGGTGGCCCGTAAGAGTCTGAGGGTGGTTTCAATCCACCTATATTGAAAGATGGGAATTTGCTGCTTGGCGGTGGACCATACACTGGTTTAGGACCACTTGGCCTAGACGGTGGCAAGTAGGAATTCCCGGGAGGTGGACCGTATACGTCTCCTGGTGGTGGTGGGCCGTAGATGTCACCTGGAGGTGGTGGACCGTAGATGTCATTGGGCGGGGAGCTGAGGTCGGGGGGTGGACCGATGCTATCGGGAGGTGGTCCATAGACTGGCTTCGGTGGTCCGTAGGTGCCTGGAGGCCCATGTCCTGTTGGTGGTCCACTTGGAGGTGGTCCATAGCTAACTGAGGGTCCTGGATGAGGTCCACTGGGTGGCGGCCCATAACTACCAGATGGTCCTGTCGAGGGCCCACTAGGGGGTGGCCCGTAGCTGTCACTTGGGGGTGGACCGAAACTGTCGCTAGGTGGCAGGTAGATATTGCCGATACCACCACCGTGTGGCGGAGTAATAAACTCTGGTGGTGCCTCTCGCCTGTTCACTGTTTCCGATGCTGCAGCTTCTGCCGTCTCATTCTTCTGATTCGTTATACCTGAGGCATAGCCCAGGAACAAGAGGCATATCGCTGGGATCACCTGAAACATGCAAAATCATCAAATTAGTTTTAATTAAAGCAAATAATTAAAAAGCAATATGTCAAAAATATAACTGAATGATTTCCTAAAATTCTTTTTTTTTTTCAAATCATTCAGGATCCTATTTTTTAAATACAAAATCATAATTAACAACTTTTTACACGATAAACAGTTCAGGGTAATTTATCTGCAGTATTCCACATCTAACATACACTTTTTTAGTGAATTATAAAAGTATTCATAAAGAGGGTCGTTTTTTTTTTTTAAATGAGACTGGCTACATGTGGAGACCTGAAATCAGACTGATTATTGTATAATTACTAGCAATGCCGTTGTACATTGTAATGAAGAGAAGTGCTCCCATCTTCTGAACGGTTAATTAATTAACAATTTAAGAAACTCCAGGGAGTTAATTGTGGAAAGCTGGAAGTTCAATAGAATTTCTTTATAATTATGTTTTCTTATTCTGAATGTTTTTGAATACATGAGGCGGAAACTTGAAATCATTGTAAACTTTTTCTTTTTTCTAAATGTGTGGATATGGGACAATCAATTACTTTTTTGACTTGTATCTCAATTCGGATTTTTTGACACTATACATTATATCTTAAAAATATTTCGTTGGTAGGTCGTCAATAATTCACATGCTTATTTCCTTATCATGTTTTAATTTTTAGATTCGCTGCGAAATTGATAAAGCAAATTATATCTTGATAACACGGATAATAACCAACTACATTTTAGTAAGAATTCTATTGACTTATGAGTTAAAATGGACAGGATATTATAGCTGCACAACATTCAAATAATGCATCAACAGATGAGAAAATAATAAAGTAACAAATCATGTTTGATAAACGTACTAATATAATTTTTAAACTTCTTACAGAATTTAGAAAGGTTTTATTTCATTAGTTTATTTATAATTTTATGCATCGAATTTTCGCATAGAGCCATAGGTGTTCTGGCAGCCCATGTCTGATTTTGTTGATCTTATATGCGATAAAGAAAAAGGTACATCGCATCTAAGATGAATTCGCAGATATTACACTTAAGGGTTTCATTATTAGAGAATGAATTATGTAGATTTTCTTTTTAGTTACTAGTGCCCATTGATCATCCTGAATTCTACAACTGCGTCTTTTCGTGGTTTACCTAATCTTTAAAACTCTATTAACACAGCTCATTTTTCACCACTAGCATCCTTTGTCTGCTCCTCGAGCAATTACTTAAATATATAATTTATGAAGTAAATTATTTACTTATTATGTTAAAAGGAGGTTTAAAGCAACCTCCATTTTGCAAGGAATTGCGTAAAAAGTAAGTGTTGAACAAAATAAGCAGTTCTGCACTACGCATGATAAAAATAATACCGGAAATAAAAACGGGTAAAAGAAAACGAAACTTTCTTCGTTCGACCTTTCTCGGTTACAAAGGTTGTAGGAGAATTCCATACTCCATGATAACCACAACAAATCTCTTCGGCTCGTTACCTTATCACCATGAGTCCGCATTCTATTGCGAAGTATTGAAATGCCTAAATACGTGACAAATAAAACATATCCTGGGTAGTGTGTCTATAAGACCTAATTGTATACATTTAAAAAGATTATCTCAATTTAAATTATTCTGGAATTAAAAAAAAAATTTGTTACAGTGCGTAACATCACACAAGTTTCCTTTAACATCTTCTTCTTATCAGAAATAAGTATTTTCAGACAAAGGGAGAGTGAAATTAAAAATTATAAACGCTATATTGATTTGTATTTTATTGTGCATATTTTTAAATACCCTTATATACAAATTTTAATATTTATGTGACTGTGATCTATACTATTAAATATTAAACAATACCAACGAAAACATTTAGCAAAACCGCTTTTATATATGCACACAATATTGTCGGATTCAGTATTTGATTATGCTCATGTTACGTATGGACGCCTGGCCTGTTCCTCGCGGCCAGATCGGGTGAGTCAGCTTGACGTGTTTCTTTCATTACAACTATTCTCTGTTACGATCTCATATTCCTCCTTTAGTTAATCATAAAATTCTTTCATATGTTATATTATATTTAACTATTTTTTATATTAGAGATCAATGTGAAATGGTCATTCGCTTCAAATAATAAAAATTAAAGCTACTTTAGAAGAATCTAATATTTAAAATTAAGCCGTGTTGGCGAACATGGATGAGAATTAAACCTACATAATATTAAAAAGTGCTTAATTTTACACAGATGTTAATGAATTTAATAATAATCGTTGGAGCCGTTTTCGAGATAATAGTAAACATGTGTTTCATCTATGATACAAAGTGACACTTTCGGTCAGCCGATTTTGACGAAAAACGTTGCTGTTTCATATCAGATATATACGAACCTTAAATATGCAATTTCATTTTCATACGACTTTTCGTTTTTGAGCTGGACCTGTCACATACATACAGACCATTTGGCAGGACTTGGTTATTTGGACTCATAGACCTCAAAATATATATTTCTCTTGAAAACTCAGATTCGAAAATTTTCAAGATCGCAATACTGTCCCTTACTATATATTTCATATATAGGTAAGCGCAAAAGAAACAAAGAATACTTAAGTATATCGTCTGCTATACTATTTTAAGAAAACCTTTTATTGATAAATTTCTTATTTATTAATAGCTAATTGGTCGGATATTGCACTATTTGTGGTTAGTCAAATAAATTTTCAATGCAGACGCAAAAACCTTAAGTATTTTTTTTTTAAGTGGTTGCTGGTTAATATTAAACTTTTGCCTACCTCTGAATTTTCCTAAATTTTCTATTTTAAACTTTTATTAGGTTATAAGTAATTGTAATAATCTTTTTATGTAAAAAAAAAATAAATAAAAACCTCACTACTTCAACCCATGAAGGATCAGCAGTATCATGAAAGGAAGTACTGTTTATATTGTATATAAAAGCATATGAATCTGTACACACCCACACATACTCAAACACACACAACAATAATACGAGATAGAACAAAACTAGCTGATCCGTGGTACTTTCGCTGAGCCAGAGGCTAATCAATTAAAAGGTTTTAAATCTCAATCTGTTTTAAGTCACTTTCAATGTTCGGTTCCACTTCATAGCTTTTGTTTTATCCCGGCTTTTGTACTTGATCGGTTAGTAACGCTTAACCCAAAATTTCAATTTTGATACTGCAATAATATTCTTTATCTAGTTATTATTTCTTTTATCTATTCATTTATTAAGTAAAAAATACATTTTTCCTCAATCAAGGGGATCAGTATTTCAGATGTAAGAGACTCAAGTTATTAAATTATATAAATAAAATGTAATGTAGGAGCAACGTTTTTCCGAAACAGAAGTATCTCCAGCTTTCAAAAATATTTATATACAAATTGTTATAAAATCGTTGTAACATCTGTTCGATATTGGAAAATTACAAAAAAATATATATATTTTTTTAATTAACTGAATCTTTTATTTATTTTAATAACAAAATAACTTTATTGTTTTTCGCGAGTTTCCATTATAAAATCTTGACACCATTTCTCTTTTTTCTGCAGGGCGAGTGCATTTTAGCGAGTTTTTTTCTTTCTATTGAGAAACGGCGTTTTATTTGTCTTGTTTTCTTCATTTTTTTATTAAGTACTTGGGCGTACTTTCAAATTACCTGAATAATTTTTCGACGTAGGATGTGATTCTGTTGAAAGAATCATTAATTACGGTAAGAATGGGTATATTAACTTTTAGTAAAATATGTGATGTATATAAAGTTCGTACATTTTTAATGACCATATACTTTTTCCTTTTGACTAGACAACACTAAATGTGAATTAAAAAAAAAAAAGAAGAAACTGAAAACAAGAAAATAAATATCTGGTCTTCCATGATTCCAAAATGGTCATAGCCAAAATAATCTCAATTCTGTACACTTTCTAAATCACGAAGTTTGTTCACGTTAGATCGAATCGGTTCCTTTCATTCAATATTCGACAGTTGAAAAGAGATTGTATTTGATTTCTCGGCTTAAGGGGAAACTATACCATGGGAAATATAAATTGTAATGACAAACAAACTTTCAGATTTCTAGCATAAAACATCTTTTTTTTTTTTTTACTTTTAATTCGTTATATCTGTTACAAATAGCATTTTAAAAATATTTTCAGTAATAAATGTACCGTAATAATCATTATCATAACTAATATTTATCGAGAAAAGATAATACTATTATTAAAAATATATTACCACCCAAAGAAAGTTTTTTTTTTTTATTATATATTTGAATGAAAACATGTTTTAGATGTGAAAGTAATGAAAAATGGAATATGCAACAGTATACATTTTTAAAAAAGGATGTACAGATAATGTTTAAAACAATTACGATACAACACGAGAACAGCAGATAACGATAGTAAAAAATAATGTGAAAAATATATTGTATATCAATTAGTGTATTGGCAATACCTTTAGAGTTGTTGCTATATTTTTTATATATCTCATTAATCAATTTCAATTCCACAGAAACATAAATATAAATTACAACACTTTAAGATTTGAAAATATATAGATACATGTATTTAATCATTTTAAAATTATTTTTGTATTTAAAAATCATTAATTAAGAAAATTCGAATTCACATTATTTCTTTTAAAAAGATAAAATAAGGAGAAAAACAAACAAAGCAAATATTTGATTTTATAGTTATGAAATAGTGATTTTTCAATATATATATTTTTTTAAAAGATCACTGAACCCTTTTGAAACATAATAATAAATATTTTTTTTAAATAAGAGAATGCTCCTTTTTTTATTAATTTTCAATAAAAATGTAAAATTATTCGTTTTCCTTTGTTATTATTTCGATTATTAATAGGTATAGAAATGAATATGTGACAAGTATATTATTTTTTTCTCCATCTTTACTATTCATTCAATGTACTTTTTACAAGTTTTTATTTTCTTGTTTTAATATAAATATTTTTACTATACATGTATTCTTCTCAT